CCCCCTCGCTCTATTTCTCCCTCTCTCCTCTCTCCCTCGCTCTATCTCTCTCCCTCCTCCGCTCCCTCTCTCCCTCCGGACATCTACTTGTTCCCCAAAACGTGCCGTGTGTAGAGCTATATACTCGTTTCTAACGCCACATATTTTCCCGTCCTCCAAATCCCGCTGTACCGTATCACCGTGGCTGTCCGGTCCCGCATTCGATGGTCTCGCCATTTCACGGTCCGACGGTAATTTGACGATACAGACGCTTTCTGTGGCACACGAGCCGACGGTGGATCACGGAGAAATATACCGAGCCATCAATCTCGGCTCTGACGACCGAGCCAACAGGGAGCACGGCGATCACGACGGCAGGAGCACTGCTCCATAGATGAACAGCAGCTCCATCCATCAGAAGGTCGATGACAAGTGTCTCCGAACAGCCTGACAGATTACGGCAGAAGCTTAATGGAGCGGGAGCTCAATCGGGTCTAAGGTCCGATTCAAGGACTGTTGTTGTTGGTTGGCTTAATTTTTCAGCTCCGGCAGCAGGGGTCTGAGATCGATCAGAGGTCTCTTGCTGGTCACCTCACGATCATCTCGCTCGTTGTTTCAAGACCCGCAGAAAGGGCTCTCGCTATTTTTGTATTATTTTGTTCTCGGTCAGTTTGTACTCCTTGCTGAAATGTTTTAGGGTTTTCCGTGTTTGGCGGCGTAGGCATTGTTTTTTTTCTAACCATACGGGCAAGAGGGAAACCTTCCTGGAGACGAAATTAAAAGCGGGGGGGGGACTTGTTGTGGAAAGGGAAAAGTTTTTGATTGGGAGCGTGGTTTGGTTTGCTCTTGGGCACGAATAGGCTATGTTGGGCTGAGGCGTTTACTCATTCCGTAGGCAGGCACTAAGCGTGCTTGCTATTCATGAAACGCTTGTTCCTTAACTTGGACGCTTGGGCGGCGCTCTTATCCCTGGCGGCAGCTGGCCGTCTCGCTACCCGGCTCTTTGTGACGGCTATGTACCCATGTGGCTCGGGATGCCCAGGCCGCAGACAGAGGGCCCACAATGCAGTCAGCCCAGGCAGGACAAGGCCGTTGATACATGTATACAATTGTTAGTTGTGTTTTGTTCAAGAAGCAAGCGATGGGTGCCGGTGACCCCTCGTGCTGCCAAGTGTACTGCCTGCCGGAAAGATGTTGTCGTCACCGTCGTTGTACATTTTTTGTCGCGTTATTGGAAAACATCTCTTGCTGCCCCCCCCCCC